TCTCCACTCATCTGGCATCTTTTTAGTCTTCAAAACAGTATTAAAAGGTTTAGTAAGCCAATAAACTCTATCTCCTAAGCATTTCCAAACCTCTATTTGAATATCATCAGGTACAATAGCTTTTCCACACTTCATTTTCTTTAGAGGCTCTCTAACTTCGGTTTTACTAATACATCAATAAAAATAGAAATTTTTATTTTCATTTAGGGTGCTAATGTAACTAAAGTAAATTGTATTCTCATATTTTTCATTAAAAAGTGTATCAAAATATCTAATTCACCTTTATTGAATACCATCTTCTAAGAAAAGTACTTTTTTATATTCATATCTAATACACTTTACATGAACTAAATCCTCACTACTCATATCTCTTTGTTTGGACAAGTTATACATATATCTTTCTCCCTCCATAGCATCTAATATATTATATAAATCATTAAAAGCTAAGATCTTTGCATTGCATATTGCTTTCTTAAATTTCTTATGTGCCTTTTTATATATTTCCCAATTATTAAAAATTTTACATCTAAATCAATTTTTATAATGAATCTTCTTATTTTTTATCTTTTCTTGCACATTTGGATTCCACCACTAACTATTTTTATTATTAGGAGCTTTTCCCATTGATACTTCAAGTGCATCTATTGCAACATTCTTAATATCACTAGTCACTTTTTCCCACATAAAATTAGCATCATCATACACAGACAAAATCTTAAGATTTAAAATCTTATTCTCAAAAATTATTTTGTTAATATTCTTTAAATGCCCCCATTTAATCCTAGAATATTCTCTTACTTTATTTTTTATTTTCTTCCCATTTATCTTAAATTTCAAAAATAATAATCCAAGTTAGGTACATAAACTTTCACTTCGAATAACTTTAGATTCTTTGCAATCTAAACAATCTAATTTTCTTATAAGAAAATAATCAATATGAGTTTGACTATATCCTTTTTTATAAGTGATGAGATGCTCCTCTCTTTTCTTAAAAAATTAGTGGACAACATATCCATTATAATAGATTCAAAGGGCTAATTTTTGCTTAGGTTTTCTAGCTTGCAATAGTTTTTCTTTTCCAATGCTATATGCATTTCTTCAAAAAATTAAAATTAAAAAATCATAAGCTGAAGAAAAATATAATATGGACTTACCACTTTCATTTGTCGTTCCAAACCGATGGCTACCATGAATGCTTCTAAAATCATCTACCTCTCTACCAACATATCCATTTAAATCTCCTCCAATGAAAACTCTTTCTTCAAGAGGTATCTTTTGTACTAATTCTTCTAAGTCATTCCAAAACTTTAATTTTGAACTCATATTCAAACCTACTTAAGGATCATAAGCACTTATAATATTAACAATCTTAGCATCAATAATAATATTTAAAACTATAATTCAATCTCCAACTCTATTATTTTTATAACATTATCCTTCAAACTCTTTTCTATAATCACCCCTACATCATTTCTAATATGACTTGCCCAAATTCCCTAGTTTAAAACCTAAACTAATCTCCTTAGCCTTCTCTCTAACACATTTAGTTTCTTGACTGCACAAAATTTTATCTTCCTATTAATCAAAATATATATTAATTTAAAAAAAATCCTATAAGGGAACCTATATTCCAAGTTCCTATCCTAAATTTAGTTTCATGAACTAACTTCTTTTCCCATATCCATCCTTAATATGAGAACCATTGCCTATTTAACACTGCACCCTGGTGCTGATGCAGTAGCCCTTGCACACTTGTCATTGTATTTAGGTCATATAGTGCATCACTTTTAGAGGACACCCTAACATTAACATAAATTTTTGAAGGATTTGTGTCATGATTATTCGACAAATTTTTTGTTGGTTGTCGACTACCAAATGCAACCCTCCATTTTTCTCATCCAGGACTTAAGACCTAGTAACGGCAGTGTTACACATCTTCCTTAATCACCAAATTTAAAAATATACTCTTTATATACAATTGATACAATTTAAGACCTTTAAGGCATGCAATTGCTAACAGTACACTGATTATTTCTAATCTAGCTACTAGGACAAAGGTTTCCTCAAAATATAACCCTTCTATTTGGTTGTACCTCTTTGCTATCTACCTAGCCATATAGCTAACAACTAATCTAGAGTTATGTACTTTATTTTTGAAAACCAATTTCATTTTATGTACTTTATTTTTGAAAACCAATTTCATTCCAACAACATTTGGATTAGTGGGTCTAGTCACTAATTCACGCACATCATTCCTAACAAATTGATTTAATTATTTTTGTATAACTACAATTCAAAACTCATCTTCTAATGCATAATCTATATGTGTGGGCTCTACCATGGAGATGAAGGATGTATGGCTAACTTCTTTTCTAAGATCATGCCTAGTCCTAACCCCTAATGATGGTTCTTCTAATTAGATAAGTTCTCCAGGGAAACTAAACACATATCCCCACTCTTTAGGTAACAGATCTTGATCTTTTTCTCTATCTTCTAATCCAATATTATTAACTCTACTAGTGAAACCTTCTTCTTCATCATTATTAATTTTTCTAAATTTAGAAACCTTATCAGATTCATCAAATATAATAGGACGGACTCCTCAATAACTAAGGCTCTCTTATTAAAAATCCTATATGCCTTGTTTGCTAAGGAGAATCCTAAAAAATACTATTTCATCTACCTTCGCATCAAATTTCACAAACTGTGATTTTTCATTATATAATACAAAACACTTACACCTTCATATATATAAATGAGACCAATTTGGTGGTCTACCCTTAAGTAACTAAAAAGATGTCATATTCAACTAAGATCTTATATTTATCCTATTCAAAACACAGTAAATATTATTCACTATCTCTGCAAAGAAGTACTTACGTAGAATATACTCACTAAGCATCACCCTAGTAGCTTTTACTAGTATCCTTTTCAAACTATGCCATTCAGTGTTGGATTCTAAAGGAAGATAATTTTGTTCTATTCCAAATTTTTAACAAATTAATTTAAATATTTCATTCTCAAATTATCCTCTATGATTGTTATGGATCAAAAAAATTAAAAAATATTTTTTCATTGAATCTAAATTGAGAATGTTCTAAATTTTTCAAATGAATCATTATTATTTGCAAGGAATTTAACCCAAGTGTATCATAAATAATAATTAATGATTACAAATCTAAAAGATTTCCCTCCTAGGCTCAATATACTAATAGGTCCAAATAAAATCATGTTAAGTACTTCTAATGGTCTAGTGGTGACTACGTCCTTGATGGAATGAAATGAAAACATAGTTTACTTTCCTTTCTATTATGCATCACAATATATTCTTTAAAAAAAATCTAACTTAGGAATACCTCTAACTAATTCTAACTAGGTGATCTTCTTAAGGGTCCTTGTGCTGGCAAGATATAATCTCTTATGCCACAATCATAATTTATCAATAGTATTCTTCAAAAACAAACATTATTAGACTTATCCATATAATTTAGATCAATCATGTACAGGGGCGGAATCACTGTAGCGACAGGGGGGCAATTGCCCCCCCTGAAAAAAATGTAAATTTCATTTAAGTGTAAGGGCTTTTAGGTAATTTGCCCATCTAATAGCTTAAAATTTGCCCTAAAATCTGATTTTTCAGCCCGATTTCATCTATTTCGCCTAAATCCTGAACCGAAACATAAAACCTCTCCCTCTCCTCCGAAAGCTTCGAACGGCGAACGTGATCGCCCTCTTCAATCTCTGTCTTTCCTATTGATTTTTTCTTCTTGACGCTCGAATCAGAGGAGGCGATAGTAGTAGATTTTGTCTTCAGTAATTTTCCCCTCTCCTCCAGTTTTTATAACGCAATGTCGCAACTCGCGAACGCCCGGCGACGCAACTGGTTCTAAATCTTCAGTTGTGCTGTCTTTTTACTCTGTTCTTAGCAAATAACCTTATTCTTAAACCTTTTTAAACCCCTTCCTTCCTATTTATGAAGGAAACCTTTTTACTAAGGCTTATTGTGCAAACCAATTCTCCGATTCAGTGAATCAACACAAACTCTAGCTTTACTCTTGATTTACTTCTTTTTACTCTATTCTTATGCTAAATAACCTTTTTACTCATGTTGTTCTTTTTCTTGCAGCTTTGAAGTAATTGTGTTGTCATTCACTCGTTCTTATTGTGCTGTCGTCATTTTTTGAAGAAATTGTGCCGTCGTTTAGGGCTTGTTCGTGCCTTTGAAGGAATTGTGCTTCTTGATTTCATAGTAATCAGGTGAGCATTCAATTATTGTTAACTGTCTTTCTTATTTCACATAAATCTAATGTCATTCTTATTTCTCCAATTCTCCCTACTATGTTTTTAGCCAATATTTCTTAAGTTTCATCATTTTAAATTTCAGCTTTTACTGATTTTGCATAATAAATGTCAGTGGGTTTAATTTGGTTTTATGTTTCTTGAGTATCAAAGTGTCTCAAAGTTTTTATTATATTAATACTTGTTTGTTATTATGTAAATATTTTATTTGATGGTTGATTTTCCTTGGTAATAAATTTTATTCTAGGGTTAAAAAAATGGAGCGTTATTTAAAGAGGAAAGAGCGAATATAAATTGATATGAATAATCTCCCAGCAGATCCAGGACTCCGACTTCCAATTTGGAGTTATGATGTAAATGATAGAGATAAGATCCGGAGATCATATCTATTGAAGGGACCCCATCAACCAAGAAGTCGTCAATTTCCCCAAACTTTATATGGAAATATTGCACGTAGGTTCAATCCGAAGTGGTTTGATGAATACTCTGATTGGTTCAAGTACAGTGTGCAAAAAGACGCTATTTTTTGTCTTTACTGTTATCTATTTAAACCTCAAGAGCATATTATTAAAGGTCAAGGTGGTGGCGATTCATTTATTGGAGAAGGTTTCAAAAATTGGAAGAAGAAAGAAAAATTATTATGTCACATTGGAGATCACAATAGTATACATAATAAGGTTAAACAAAAATGTGAAGATTTAATGAAGAACCAAGAACACAGTCTTCCAGGTTTATGGTTAAGCAAAGATGATAAGAACAAAAAACAATATAGGATCATGTTGACTGCAGCCATTGATTGTGTTAGATTTTTGTTACGTCAGGGATTATCATTTCGTGGGCATGATGAGTCTTCCAATTCAGATAATCGAGAAAATTATTTAGAGATATTTGACTTTCTAGCTTATCATAATGAAGAAATTAAGACAGTGACATCCGCATATGCTAACTCTAATCTGAAGTTAACTTCACCAAAAGTCCAGAAAGAAATATGTTTTGCTGCATCAGCTGAAACTTTAAAATTTATCATGAAAGATATTGGTAACTCATATTTCTCAATTATAGTTGATGAATCACGTGATGTTTCTACGAAAGAAAAATTTGCTATTGCTGTGAGATATGTAGATAAATTGGGCCAAGTGATTGAAAGATTTATAGGCATCAAACATGTCACATTCACTAATGCGGTTACACTAAAGGCAGCCATTGAAGACATTCTAGCCAAACACTCATTGAGCATACAAAGGATGCGTGGTCAAGGATATGATGCGGCATCCAATATGCGAGGGGAATTTCATGGTTTAAAGGCCCTTATTCTAAAAGATAATCTGCAAGTATTTTATGTTCACTGTTTCGCTCATCAGCTCCAATTATGTTTGGTGGCAGTGGCAAAGAATCATTGGCAAGTAAAACATCTGTTTGAGTTCACTTCTAGAATTATTAATACTATCGGGGCTTCTTGTAAGAGATCAGATGCTCTTAAAATATTCAGCATGATAAAGTACTTCTTCATCTTAAAAATGGCAATCTCATAAGTGGTAAAGGTTTAAATCAATAGACAAATTTACAAAAATCTAGTGATACTCGTTGGAGTTCACATTTTCACTCTTTGATTAGTCTTATGCGTATGTATACTTCTGTGATCGAGGTGCTAGAGATTATTAAAGAAGATGGCGTTCATGATCAGCAATCGGTTGAAGCGGGTGTTCTGATTGATATAATGGAGTCTTTTGATTTTATTTTTACAATGCATTTGATGATTGATATATTGGGCATTATGAATGAGTTATCACAATCATTGCAAAGGAAAGATCAAGACATTGAAAATGCGATGAAATTGGTTCAAATTTCTAAACAACGACTAAAACTACTAAGCGAGAATGGATGGAATGTTTTACTAGATGAAGTGTCACATTTTTGTGCTGTTTTTTATGTTTTTATTCCAAACATGAATGAAACATGCAAAACTCGTTGTCGATCAGTGCGAAGAGGAGAAGATAAAACAAATCTACATCATTATCATGTTGATCTATTTTATATTGTTGTTGACATTCAACTACAAGAGCTAAATAATCGCTTTTCTGAATCAAGCACTGAGTTACTTCTTTATGTGTCATGCTTAAACCCAAGTGATTCTTTTAATGCTTATGATGAGAGGAAATTGATATGTCTAGCAGAGTTATATCCGAGTGATTTTTCTACAGTTGAGGTTGTTGCTCTTAAAAGTCAATTATCAACGTACATTATTAATATGCAGACCAGTGAATAGTTCTCTTCTCTAAGAAGCATTGCTGATCTTGCAAAGCGGATTGTTAAGTTCAAGAAGAATGGCGTGTATCCTCTTGTTTATAGACTTATTACCTTAGCATTAACCTTACCAGTTGCTACTGCTACAGTGGATAGAGCATTTTCAGCCATGAAAATTATCAAACATCGATTGCGTAGCAGGATGGGTGATGATTGGCTCAACGATTGTCTTGTGTCTTACATTGAAAAAGTTGTGTTTGATTTGATTCCTAATGAAGTTGTTATCCAATATTATCAAAAAATGCAAAATAGATTAATAAAATTGTAATGATTTTACAATTTTCCAATCATAATGAAATACAAGATTTCACTTTGAATTATGTTCCAATTTTGTTTTTTTATATTAGTCTATTACTAAGAAAAATTTTCCCCCTCTAATATGAAAGGCTGGTTCCGCCAATGATCATGTAAACATGTTTTAGTCATATTTCATGAACATCTATTGTTTAGGTACCACATGCTCTCACTATACCTCTTGTGAGAGCACACTTACAAAATCAATCAAAGTTTAATTTTAAGAACCTAATTGAGTTTGGTTCATGCCTTATATTATAATGAATGTATGTTATGATGTACATATGATTTCATGGGCCTCTAGACCAAATGTGATATACGATGGATTGTATGTCTACAAATGGATGCAATATGCCTTAATATGCCATAAGAAAAATGTTTCACTCATGAAAATGGATACACTAATCTATATGAAGAGTGATGTCTCCTTCTAAAGGATGGTGGTACATGTTGTGTTCTAATGTGTAGCCTAATAGTATGTAGGCCCCAATGCATTTTCTTTAAGTGATGTGATTATTTTTATCAACACTTTTATATATGCCCACCTATACTTTCAATGCATATTCATCTTCTTGTAAATGCAATGCATCTCTTTCTAACTCCTTAAATGCCTCTTCTAATTAAATATTCCTTTATTTAAACTATCATGCTTCTCTTCTAATGCAATATAATCATTTTTTAAGTTTTTAAAGTCATTAATGAAATTGGTATGCTTTTCTTGCAATATAGAATGTTCTCTTTTAAGATATGAATGTTTCTATTTTAAATTTTCTACAACTATTACAAGTTTGTTCTATTAAAGAGAGTAATTCATCATAAGCAAGATTGCATACTTGATTCCTATTGGAATCACCAATTTTATTCTTGGCCAAGAGATATAAGTTAGTTACCTCCTCTTTATATTTGGTCTCCAATAAGTCTGAATCAAAATTTGCCCAAAAACCCTTTTGTGTTCTTTGCTTGCCCTTATTAGTAATTCCTTTTCTTCATCCTTTTATTTTGTTTTTTTTTTTTAATATTGCAACATTGCATTAATAAACTTATTGCAATCTACTAAAAGAACCACAACGATCACATTCCTTCTTTAACAAGTTAAACAAAGAAGAATGAATGGAACTAGAAATAAAAATATCTCAAACAAAAGAACTACATAAAGCAAATTTGGCACATAAATCAGCCACTTTATTCGCCTTTCTAGATACATGATGGAAAATTACATTATTGAAATCATTAAGAAAGAACTCTTTATTCCAAACTCTTTCTTGCTGCCAATTTGATGTCCTCGTTGAATCTTGAAGCATGGTTATAATATTGATGTTACCTCCTTCAATCACAACACTCTTGCATTGAAACATCCACTCTTTGAGGTGTTCTCTAATTAACTAAAAAAAAATTCAAATACTTTTTTTTTGTTGGGTGGCTCGTTATGCTCAAGTAACTGAATCAGATGTGCCTTGGCTTCTTACATTCATAAAAAACAATGTAAGTGGAAAACTTATTTAACTTTATACTTTTTCCTCAATGTTTTTCACTGTGGCGATTTTGCTTGTTTTTCAAAAATCTCTTGAACTAGTTGGTCATCAGTGCAATATTTTTATTTCCATCTGTACAAGAATCACTACTTTATGTATCGTCAACTTTTAAATCAATTATCTTCTTCTTCTCCCTTTCACCTATGTTTGCTTTTATGTGATTGACGTTTTCTAGTAGGCAATCAAAGAACCATGCAAGTTGTAATAGAATAAGAATTTAAATCCTTATATTAAAAAATTGTAATATCCTTAGCATCTACAAATTCAGGCAATAAGTGTAAAACTTTATTTATTTTTATCAACATACGAGATGTATTTACCAAAAGCATGCAATGATGTAATATTTTTTATAAACCTAGTGTACATGTCAAACAATAGATTAGCTAGGTTGCATGCAAAATAGTTCATATTTATGTGAAAGTAAATTCATGCAGGATTATTTCACTTCACCAATTCCATCATAAGTTATGTAAAGCCTATCTCAACTTTCTTTACTACTAGCAAAAGCAAACAAGGGCATGTAATCTTCAGATTTTAAAACATAAAAAATAGTTGAGCTATTTAGCATTCAGTTGAGCAAGATCACAATCTTCTATACTCCATTTAGAAAATTATATTTCTAGTTTGGCACCACTAAATATTCTAAAAGGCAAAGAATATTTTATTTAAATCACATGCCACGTACAAAATTTGATAGATTGCAAAAAAGTTAACATTCAAACCTTTAGAAATAAAAAAGAATATTATCAAGTAAAAGCAGTCGATTAATAGATACCCTTTCGAGGTGTTTCTATTTTGAATGTATGCCAAGTGGATCTACTCAAGGTGTTTAGACAAAATAATATAAGAAACATTCTCTAATACAACTTGAAAGTTCTATGGTGCACCAAGATGGTGGGTGAATTGATATTTAAAAACTTTTATTGAAATGAGAGTAATATTTGGAAGCTTTAAGAAAATAAAATATTTAAACCAAAAGAAAATGCAATTTAACTTCTAGAAAATATTTTTGTTTTTCACTTTTAAGCAAGATTTTAACCAAAATATTCTCAACCATAACTTTACCAAAGATAAGCAAAGTAAACCAAAGTGCAGGAAAGTAAATACATGAAAATAAAGAAAACAAAACACATATTTTATAGTGGTTTTGTCAAAATGACCTATATCTACTCCCCAAATGTCATCCTTTTTGGGTATTAAACTATCTCATGCTCCTTTATGACTCAGCTAGGTGGAGAATTCATTATCTCTTTCTAGGTGAATAATGAACTTTGTAGAATCTTCTATCCTTGAAGAATCTCCCTCCTTCAGCCTCGTAGCATGATAGAGTTATCTCTCTCTCCTTCTTCCCCTGAGACGGTGGAGATGTTAATCCCTCCTTCATCTCCTCACATGGAGGATATGTCGCTGCCTCCTACTCGCAAAAAAAATAGATGTCGCTCCCTCCTTTTTCTCCTCATAACAACAGAGATACCATACCATAGCCTCCTTGGCTAGTAAGTCTTTTGCCTAAAGACTTTTTCCTATAGCTCTTCTCCAAGAGCTCCCCAAACACAATACAAAGGACCCAAGGTACATGCTGATAGGAATAACCATGAGGCTCCCTCACACCCTTTATTACCCTCAAGAAAAAATCTCCCTTAGCCTTACCTCCTCTCTCTCCCAAGAGGTTTGGACACCCTCTTACAAGCAAAGAGACTCTCTCTTCTTTTTTAAAGCTCTATCCTTGACATCTATGACTACTCAATGTAAGCTTTTAAGTCTCATATGAATTTAAAAAAGTGGGCAATTTAAATAAAACCCTAATTTTCAATTTTAGACTTCTGATCGTGCAGTACTATACTTGGATCACACCATCCAATTAGTTTAATGCATGTCACAAATCATTTTATATGATATACAATCATAAAATATAATTAATTATATCAATTAGGGATCATACAGGATGAACTGAGGTTTGCCCATTAAGCATTCTATTTGATTGGCTTGTACAATATAAATTATACATAAGATCACTAATTAGGATTTAATCTTGATTTGATTCTTTAGTTTACAAAATAAAATTAGTCAACATTCATTAATGTTTCTATAACAAGAAATCAGTTGTACTATACATTCAATTTAAATTTTATTAACAAGGATTCAATGGTCAGATTTATCAAAATAGTTGATCACCATGTACGATGGAAGATCATACTGTACAATTAGTTACAATTTAATTTAATTAATTTGATTTTACTAAAAATTTAAAATTTTTTAATATATCATGCAGTATGATTAGGATCATACAGTATGATCATATAAAAAATTTTAAATATTCAATTTTTATCCCCCTTTTGAGTGTGTGCTCAATTATCGTCTATCCAACATACACCTAATATATAAAATGAGTCAAAAAAAGTTTATACTCTATTATTACAAACTAATTTATAATTCTGCAATATATTGAGTCTGATTCTTTAGTCTAGTTTGTTGTATGTTGTACTTGAAATAGTTAGTGATGCACAAAAAAATAAGCAATGTATATAAAGCAAGAAAAAGTAAACAATCACACTAATATTTGTAATCATCAAAATAGTAGGTCAAGCTCCTAAATTTCAACACTTTACACCCATAATACATAATGGGGCTAGGTGTATGTTGGATACATATGAATTTAAATTATATTGTAAATTGATAACATTATTTTTTAATCTATTAAGGCTAATTATAAAATAAACATACATTAACAAATGAGTAAATGTCCAAGTCTACTCACTCATATGGTATGGCGTTTAAATTTTCTTAAAGTTTATAAATAAATATATGATCATTTTATAAGAAAACAATAAGATTGGCACCATGTTCACTTAGCCCCGCTTCATATTAAAATAAAAAAATGATATCAATAGCAAGTGTTGGCTTTATTGGTGATGACATGTGTTGTTGTTAGTGTCAATGGGACAAATTACCCTTATTGGAGATAATAGACTTCAAGGTTATATAAACAACATGCATCAATTGTGTTGGAAATGGGGTGCATCGACATTACCATCAATAGTATGTACTTTTTGGTTCATATAAACAATGTGGATCATGTGGGCAATGACATGCATTAGGCTTCAAGGTTCTTAAAAACAACATGTATTGAACTCAT